GATTATTGATACTTTGATTTCACTTATATGAAAAAGATCTCAATAATTCCTTTTATAGTATGTGATTGTTTGCTTTAGTGGAAATAGATGGAGACTTTAGCAAATGTCTTACAAAACCTGCATACAAAAGTTTGTGCTACCACTGCCCCGGACACATGTGAATAAGGCTTGCTAGTCACGTGACATCTGAAACACAAAGGAGCCAAGGAGCCTGATATCTGACTGAATGTGTGACTGCTAAGCTTGAGTAAGGCTATTCTTGGTTATCTAGACCCCACCTGGGGGCGAACTGGTTTAAAACTTATCAACAAGTCCAGAAGAGAAAGACCAACCGGCTCAGACCAAATGAATGTCCCAGATTTCCTGTTCAGGTACAGTTGTCTGAGTGGAAGCTGTCAGAAGCCAGTACATTTCAATGTGCACATGATACATCAAATCTTGAAAAGCACAAAATAGTCACATCCCAGTAGATATTCCCTACCCAACATGGGCTGCACTCTGCCATGTCTTAAGAGCAAATGGCACTCCTGGATTGTCTGTCATCTGTGCCTAATACATAATCCTTTGTTTGGAATGATCAGTATTGTGGAGATTTACCCTACAGGCTCTGAGAACAGAAACTGGTCCTCCAATATGAACACCAGCATTTATTTAATAAATAAATCAGTAAGAAGTTATTTGCATATGTGGGGAAATTTCTTCAACCATAATAGAAGAATTAATATGTTGCTTGTGCTATATTTTAAATTTTAGTACAACTAAAAGTCTTAGTGGGCAATTGCTATTTCCTCAAAAACAATAAAATTTAAAGTGCGTTGTTGTAGGAGGCTGTTCAATTGTTTCCCGGCTGCCCAGACTCCTGAAACAACCACACAGAAACTGTATTATTTAAATCACTGCTTGGCCAATCACTTAAGCATATTTCTTGTTAGCTCTTATAATTTAAATTAACCTATTTCTATTAATTTGTATATGGTCATGTGGCTCTGGCTTACTGGCAAGGTCCCAACACACTCCAATGGAGGAATCTATCTCTGGCGGCAGATACATGGTTTCTCCCTGACTCTGCCTACTCTCTCTCTCTATATATATCTTTCAGCCTGACTTTACTTTGCTAAGCCATTTGCCAAAAGCAGCTTTATTCATTAACCAGTAAAAGCACAACATAGACAGGACTTCTCACAGCATTTCCCCTTTTCTATTTAAATAAAAGGAAGGTTTTAACTTCAACATAGTAAAATTATATATAACAAAAGAGGTATCAAGCAACAATTGCAGTTAGAATATGTATATCTGCTTTATCCTTTGTCATAACTAAGGAAAACTATAACTATTCATTTTTCACTCCATCAAAGACTCCGGAAGGATATAATATTAAATAAGTAGACAGGAAGTGCATTGTCGGCAACTTCCAAAACTCCAGAATTGATAGAGACATCTCACTGCCTGGACAGTCACCCAAAGATTTTCTGTAACATTGTGAGCACCCATCTTCAGCCTACTGGCCCATAGTATCTGGCAGACTTTTCCATGAAGCATGAAATTTCAATGACAATTTCACCTACATTGGCAGTTTTATCAAACACTTTCTTCTGTAATTTAGAGAATGTCTAGCAGAATCATTCAAGAAGCAGGAACCCAGAAAGACTATCTCACTTTCTTTAGGCTGCTTTGGCAGTCATTTCTCTGTGGGTCTTGAAAGTCCATTCAAGCAGTTCAGGAGAGAATAGTTTCTTGCCCAGATGGCTAGCAAACTCCATGAGGAGCCTCTTCGATGCCCATCATCCTCTTGAAGTAGATTGGTGCTGGTAGGAGCAGATGTGTTTCACAGTCATGAAAAGTCCTTAATTCTTAAAACATTTTAAATGCCATATTCTATAGTCTTTGAAAAATCTGAAGAATATCTATCTGAAATATATCTCTGTACATCGAGAAAACCTAACATGACTAAAAATTTGACTATTATAGATGACTCTCTATTAACCTGTATTTCTTAATTATACATTTGTAAATGAGCTGCATGAACACAATACCTTAATCAAGACATGTGTGCACATGAATTCATATCCAACCAAATAATACATTTTGCTCTTCGTACTAACTTGAATAATTCAGAACTGAATAATAAAACTGAAGTCCTAAGGTTTTCATAAAAGATCAGAGGGAAGACTATCTAAGATGTCTAGTTAGATACTTTCAACAAATGCCATAAGCACTGAGTATTTATTCAAGTCTGTGTAAAAATCCAGCAAACAGAAGGAATATTGAGAAAGCACTATGAAAACTTTATTTTAGCGATAAAGCTCTTTAAGAGCATTGAGACAAGGTTTCTTGGTGGTGTGTGTCAGAGAGGTAGTGGGAATGACTACTGTCATAGCAACCATAAATTAGCAATAAGAAAAAGGGATGTAAATATCTTTGGTTCTCTTGATGCTCCAGGTCTATAGTTTTATCCTGTGTTATTTCAAGATTTTGATTTACTAATCAGCTCAAAGTAATGGCTGGTATTGCACAGGAATGCTTGTTACTCATCTTCATATGTTCTGTTTAAGCAGTTCAGTTCACTCTTGTTTCATTGTGGTAACATACTGTTGCAGTATTTACATGGAATATTACTCAGAAGCCCTTTCCATCAATTACAGAACATTCTATATTAATTAAGACTACAAACTTCAAAAGAAAAGTAACAGTTTCTGAAAGATAAGTACTAGAATATTGGAGATGGAAGGTTATTGAACATTCTATGAGAATTTTTCAGCCAAAGGAGAAAAATAAAGAACATGTTACTATGTAAAGTTTACAGAGATGCAAATTTAATGCTTTGCAGTGTAGAATCCTTGTCAGTCTTTGTTAGATTCGAATATCGGACAAACATTGATGTTAATCATACTTTTTCAGTCATCAATCATTGCTTTTCTAGTATTTACTCGGAGTTTGGTTAAGAGAAGGAGGAGGAGGAGGAGGAGGAGGAGGAGGAGGAGGAGGAGGACAAGAAGAACAAAAACAAAAAGAACATGAAGAAGAACAAGAATATGAAGAACAAGAATGAGAACAAGAACAAAAAGAAGGTAAGAATCAACTAAATAAGAATAAAACAAACAAACAACAATTAACCCCCCCAAATTAACAAAATCCCCCTAACTTCTATTTTTAATTTTGTTTTGTCATTTTTCAATGTATCACATAATCCAGTAGCCAAGAAAAGGAATTACCTGAGAAGTAGATTATTGATAGTGCTTGTCCAGCATGCATTGCATCCTAAGTTTAATACCAACCATGGCACAAAGCACAAGGGGTTTTCCTAAGTTGAAATGTTTAAAGCAATATGCTTATATGAAACTTCTTCATCCTCTTGCGGTACAGATGATCAAATCAGGCCCTTGAGCATGATAGGCAGGCACTGAGTCACTGATGTGTACCTTCAATCTGAGAAAACTCCCTGACAAGCACTTCACACCATCCATCAATGTCTTATCCTTTCCTACAGTACTATGGAGGGTTCTTCTTAGCCACACTTTCATAGAATGTTAGGTTCTAGAATTATTATCATTTAGTGAGGGCAAGCTACAGAATTAACAAGTTAGACAACTTTACTAAATTCATGCACCTGACAAAGTGTTTGAAACGAGACAGTGTGATGGTTTGGATAGTACATTTCCCCATGAACCCATTATAATTACTTCTGTAATCATTTTTGTTTTTTTGATATGTTATTGCACTTTCACAATTTACTCCTTCCTTTATTACCTCAAGCCCTTCCCATGTACCCCTCTGCTTTCAAGCTCTTCTATCCTGTGACTATAGTGGGAATTCTATAACAACTGGTGATACCCAGTTGTTCTGTGTGTGGATAAAAATGAAATGGAGTTTTCATGGCTTTCTCTAAAGGATGCAATTAATCAAAAAACAAACCTAACCTTTATTGACTAGGATTTAGCATATGAAATATACTCGATATATTCAGTTAGAAAAATGATCAATATTCTATCCAAATGAGTGATGACAGCATTTGCCAAAATGATTTTGCCAAGTGGAATTTTAGGCTAAAATGTTAGGATGTATCAAATCAGAATATACTCCTGTCCTTAGTAATGTGATCAAATTACCTCAAATAGTTTGTGTTCTCTTCTCCAAAGCACATTAAATTAGGGACAAATCATGAAAATATGTCAAAGATGGATAAAACAAGGGGGTGGCTACAAAGAGAGTCTAGAGTGGAAAGTGTAGACCATAGCTTACTTTAAGAAAAATGTTCTTGTGGTCATTTTGCCCTCAGTACGGTGATATGCTGTGTTCAGATTAGGGTATACAGGTAGAGAGGGCAATGGGTGCATGGCTCGCCAAGAAATATTTGAAGTGGTAAGTACTGCAAAAGTCAGCATGCATTTCAAGTACTGTGTGGACACACAGAGGAACTGACTTTGCAAGAGTCAGGCTGTGCGATGAGGTGATATTTTAATGTTTCCTGTTTTCAGCACAGCTTCTGAATCAGCCTTCTGGCTTCAAAGTTGTTTCCTAAAGGCTTTCGATCCTTTCAGCTTTTCACCATGCCACTAACTTCTGGGTTCTAAAATCTGGAAATACTATTTCCCTGCTTCCTTACCTTTTCTCTCAGCTCACACCTCTTCTATCTGCTTTTCTCAATGTACAGTTATCTTCATTTCTAGTACGTAATACGTGAACTATACTTGTCAATCAATTTGACAACTATACTTAGATTTTTTTTTCCTTTTCCTTTGGATTTTCTTTCAACTAATAGTATTCTATATTTTAATATTTGTCATTTTTTACATTATCTAATTCATTATTAAGTTATTTGAAATAGCTCATAAGAACCACAAAACCACCATTAATGCCATTTCCTGAAGGTTTGAGTTCGTAACATGGCTGCCAATGATTTTATGTTTTGTTTTTGTTTTTTTTGTTTTTTTTTGTTTTTTTTTTTTTTTTTTTGCCAAGGAAGGCACAACTTTTTTGGTTCCTTGGTCCCCAGAGGTAGTAGCCTCCTTCTCAGCCTTAGTACCTCAGAACCCTGGTGTCATTGGTCTCGGACACCACTTTGCCATCCACGACCTTGCGGGTGGTTGTCCTCTGGATGGTTTGCATGGAGTTACTGGAGTCCAGGGCATCGCTGAGACTGAAGTCTTCGCCATCCTCCAGCAAGCGACGGTTGGTGGCAATCTCAGACTCAAGCTTGACCTTGATGTTCAGCAGGTCTTCGTATTCCTGGGTCTGGCGCTGCCCCTCTGCTGGGGTTTGTGCCAGCTCTGACTCCAGGTGCAGAAGGATCCCGTTGAGCTGCTCCATCTGCATGTTGTATCAGGCCTCCACATTCCTAAGGCTGTTCTCCAAGCTGATTTTCTGATTTTTCATGGCATCTAGGTCAATCTCCAAGGCCTGGAAGGTGCGCCTCAGGTCTGTGAGTGTGGTCTGAGCATCTCTGATTTACGTAGACTGGGTAGTGACCACTGTGGTGCTCTCCTCAATCTTCAGGGTCCCCAGAGAGGGTCAGTCAAGACCTGCCTTCCTTGGCAGCCTCCCCCTCACACCCTGGCAACCAGCCTTTCCTCTTGCATACCTGCTGGGACCAGTACTTGTCTAGTTCCTCACGGTTCTTCTGAGCCAGCTCCTCATACTGGGCCCGGATATCAGCCATGATCTTGCTGAGGTCCTGGGATTTGGGGGCATCCACTTCCACGGTCAATCCAGAACTGGCAATATGGGCTTCCGGTCCTTTGACTTCCTCCTCATGGTTCTTCTTCATGAACAGCAGTTCCTCCTTGAGGGCTTCGATATCTGTCTCCAGATGCAGCCTCGTGATGTTGGTGTCATCCACAACCTTTCGGAGTCCATGGGTGTCACTCTCCACACACTGGCGCATGGTCAGTTCTGTCTCATATTTGACTCTGAAGTCATCAGCAGCAAGACGAGCATTGTCAATCTGCAGGACGATGCGGGCATTGTCCACAGAATTCGCAAAGATCTGAGCCCTCAGGTCCTCGATGGTCTTGAAATAGTGGCCCCAATCCTTGACGCCCTGGGACCCCTTCTCCAGATGTTCCCGGATTTTGCTCTCCAATCTCCTGTTCTCAGTCTCCAGGCTCTTCACCCTGTCCAGGTAGCTGGCCAGGCGGTCATTCAGGTCTTGCATGGTCTCCTTCTCGGTTTGGATGCCACCCATCCCAACTAGACCTGCAGACCCCATGGAGCCACCCCAGACGCTTGAGGAGCGGGCCACGGAGATCCGGGAATGGGAGCCCCCAGCACCTGCATAGACGCTGGCCGCGCTGCTGGCAGGCCGGACCCTCTGGCTGGGCATCCACACAGATCCCAGGGACCTGTAGTTGGTGGAAAACGTGGTGGAGCGGGTGGTGAAGCTCCTCTTGTCTGGAGAGGAGAGCGAAGCGAGAGACCGGGACAGGGGTTCCGACAGCCGTAGAGAGTGGCTGCCCTCGACCTGTTATATCGGCTGCCAATGATTTTCTCGCTTTTTTTGTTTGATCGGTTTGACTGTTTTATTATGGCCAGCAGCAACACAGACCAAACTCCTTCACCCTGCCCCAGTGTGGACTTGCTGCTTAATCGCCCTCCTCACAGCTTCTCTTTGCCTCCACTACAAGGCGTTTCCCTGTTTTCCTTAGTTCCTGCAGTCTTTCTTATAAAAATATGAGACAAATTCCCATTTTATAGGGTTGTATCAAACAATGCCTGGTATTAGAGAGCTTGGCAAAACCATGTGTAGTCTTTGTGCCCAATAGAGCAAGACCTGTGTCCTCACACACTAGCTTGAGTGATTAACACAAGCGAGCGTTTAGCTTTCTTTTGGGAATGTCTCACAGTTGAATGATAGTCTATCTCATCTTATTCTTCCTTTCAGATAGATAGATAGATAGATAGATAGATAGATAGATAGATAGATAGATATAGATAGATATAGTCTGCATGTGTGTGTATGTCTAATTTATTTTGTGTTTTAGTCAGAGTTTCTCTGTATTTCCTTGGCCACTATAGAACTCATTGTGTAGACTAGCCTGGCCTTGAACTCAGAGATAGATCTGCTTGCCTCTGCCTCTCAAATACTGTGATTAAAGGCAGGTGCCACCATGCCAGGCTTTTTTTTTTCTCTTTCCCCTTTTTCTTTTTTTTAAAGTGATGATATATATGAGAGTACTTCTTTCATAGAAATTTTCTCTCATCTTCCCAGTTGTCTATAATTTCTTCTTCAAATTATACTGCTATCTCAAAAATCAAAGAAAAATACTAGCAAACAACAACAACAAAGCATTTGAAGGGCTACAGAAATAGTTTGGTGGTAAAGAGTGCTTACTGGTCTTCCACTGGCCCTGTGTTTGGCTCCCAGCCCCGATATGGGGTGGTTCACAACTACCAGTGAAGTCCAGCTCCAGGGAGATCTGCTGCTCCTGGCTCCACACACATATGGATTCAGATGCACATTGGCACATTTTCACATTGGCCCAGGATAAAACTCAACTTAAACGGAAGAATAAAGCAGATAAAGGGAACCAAGATGGTGAAGGATTGAGTTTCATACAACTTATAGTCACAGGGAAAAAGTTCAAGAATCTGGGATGGAATAAAGATTGTGGCTGTCAAACATTAGCAGAGCTCAGGGAATCCTGCGGAAGGGTTGAAGGATTGAAGGAGCCAGAGAAGAAAACCCTCAGAACTAACTAACCTGGCTTATAGGAGCTCACAGAGAATCAACCAACAACCAGGGAGCCTGCGTGAGATTGACCTAGGACCTCTGCATATATGAAACTGTTGTATTGCTTATTCTTCTTGTGAGACGCCTAACAGTGGGAGCAGGGGCTGTCTCTGACTCTTTTGCTGAATTTGGGGACCATACTCCTCATATTGGGTTGCCTTGTCCAGCTTTAATATGAGGAGAGGTAATTAATTGTAATGCAACTTGATCAGCTATGTTTTGTGGATATTCATGGGAGGTCTGCACTTTTTGAATAGAAATAAAAGAGGCATTCGTGGGGGTGGGGCAGAAGAAAGGTAGAGTGTCTGGGAGGAGAGGAGAAAGGGGTGTGGTTGGGTTTTAAAATTAATTAATGGATGGATGGATGGGTGGGTGGATGGGTGGGTGGACGGCTGGGTGGGTGGCTGGGCAGATAGATAGATAGATAGATAGATAGATAGATAGATAGATAGATAACTGGGTAAGAGTTAGTCTTTGTAAATGACAAGTAATACATAGATCTACTTAATGGTGAAACCAATGACCACAGTGGCATGCCAAGTTCAAGCGGAGTTCATACAATGCTTGAGCCACAGCATAATTTTATTAACTGACACCTTCTCACCCTTTGTAACACGTACAAGCTACATCAAGATAATGAAGTTGAAGAAATGAGAAATATATATAGTTCTGTATGAGCATAAGAAATACAGTATGTTTAGAAAAGATAAGAAAAGGCAAATAGTTTGCAATCATCCTCAAGTTTGAAGTTTGAAGGACTAGCAAATAGTGCATACATCTGTAAATAGTGCAGGTTATTTTATGAAATGAAAATTGAGAAGGTTAAATATATTATCATGAAAAAACATGAAAATAAAAAGAATTTCAGTGCAGGGTAGAGTGTAAGGGTATTAAACCTACCCATGAACATTAGATAAATTCTGAAAGGCAAAAATACTGGAAAGTTATGATTGATCAGTCACCTGCAAAACAACTATTTAACATCAAAGAGGCTGTCAACAACCAGATGTTGTGTCCTACATTCATTTTCTTCAATAATAATAAAACTTCCTTAACCTTTCTCTCATTTTATCACCTTTATACACATGCACAAATGTGTTATGACCTTGTGCCAGACAGAATATAATTCAGAGAAAAGCATAGTACTAAGAAATATGTATCTAAATATCATGTTATAAAGCTGAGGCGCACCAGTACATTCTGGAAATCCTAGCACAGTTTCATATTTCTTTGTTTTCTAAATATTCTTACATACTTTGTTTTATTTCAATTTTCTTTCATCTTTTCCCAATTCAGATAATATCTAACATTGTTATTTTTCCAAGAATAAATGAAACATAAATATATGTTTATTTCTACATATGTGTGTATCCACACATGTAGCTATATTCTAATTCTTGCCATCTCTTTCTGTGCCACAAGATTTCTGATTATGAAAGGTAATCTTTCTCTCTGTTTTCCTTGATGCTAGCTGGGAGTCAGATGTTCTGACATTGTTTTAGTTGACTATGCAGGGGAGACTATAGGGGGTATGCAAATAATGATCTCCCCAACTTCCTCAGTTCTGCTTCCTGTAGTGTTTACACTGTCTCCGAAAACACGGAATTTTCTTGTGACTGTCAAACTGAAGTGCTGAGACTTTGCACTGTTTGTACTGCCCGCCTGTACTACGTGACAACACAGTACTTCTCCTGTATTGCGGTGCCTACACTACAGGACCATTCGTGAGCCGGGCAAGGGCCTGGAGATTTAAACACACAAAGACACACAGACAGAGACAGACGTCATCCTTGAAACAGGAATGCCCCAAGATTTCTCCCTTTATTGTATTCAGAGGCAGCTTATATAGGGATAGCCACACCCCAGCCAAACACACCAGAAACCATTCCCCTGCCATCAGGAACTCCTGAGGGTCTCGTGCTCAGACCAGCTGTAGGCAGTCAGATCAGGAGAAAACAAGCTGTTTACAATAAATCCAGGATCTGGAGGTTCACAGGTCCTAACACTGTTTGTGTAACATACACAATCATTTAGATGCTGTGTCAATTCTGGGACAAATCATCCCCTATCAGATATGCTTTTATTGGCCCCATGACATGAGAATATGCATTACAAATGGTTCTTTATGACAGCAGTAAATGTGTGTCTTTTCCCAGATGCCGGAATCTTCTCAAGATTGGTAGTAGAGACATTCACAGCCAGAGGTGTTTGTCATTTTGCACTTTGATTTAAAGTCAATTGTTACAGTGTGCTAGGTCATCGTAATTTTGCCATCCACATGATATAGTAAAAATTAAGCAATTCTCTATGACAGCAAACTGATCTATTGCCAAATACTAGCCATCACCTGAGCTCTCCAACCCATCAAGTGATATTGGACACCTGTTTGTGTTGACATGTAAGTCAAAACAACACACACAAAAATATAAAATATTTCTGAAGGAGAAATCTCACACCTCAAATTGTATTCACACTGTTACTGTAATTCAAACTCTTGACATGAGATCTGTTGTTTCTAGTTTTTAAAAACACAATAGGCATATCGTTGCAAAGAAGTCTCACACAACTTATCTGCATTGGATAGCAAACTTTATACCTCTTGCATATACAACGTGAAGTTTCTATACTCTCACAAGCAATCAGCATTCTGTAATGTTCTAGCAGTTTACTTGTATTTACACATTCATTATTCAACAAAAATGTAATATTTTCCTTCTGTAGCTGGATTGCTTCATGTTTCACAATGTCCTCATGGTTCAGGAGTGATATCAAATATAATACTATTTCCTTTGGTGTAAAAACTGAGTAATTTTCCATTGTGTGTGAATGTGTGTGTGAGTGCGTGTACGTGTGTGTGTTTGTGTGATTTTTTGCTTAATTCTCTGTTGTGGATAGGAATATGTTATTTCCATATACAATGTATTTCAATGTCCTCTTGAATTCCATATATTAGCCATGGAAGGATTGTTATATCAATATATATTATAATTATTGGCCTGTCATGTCTTTTATTTTTGCCTATTGGAGTTAGTGTTATGCTCACTGTAAAAGAATACAGATGAGTTTGTTCCTAAATGCTTCCAGAAGAATGAAAGAAAGTTGTAACTATTTTTCAAATGTTTGATAGGATCAATTCCAAAGTGAAGTGATCTGATCCCAGGTTTTGGCAAGAGAGGACCTGGCTAGTCATAAAATGAGGATAATACATAAATACAACCTTCTCTGTATGCATAATTATACCCATACATATATGAAAATTGGATTTACCACTCCATACTGGACAATCAGTTAAGAAGGATCCTCCCTGGAGAAAACCATTTTGTTTACTCTAAGAATATATATATATATATATATACATATATATATGTATGTATTTTTGTATATGTATGTATATGTATGTGTGTATGATATATATTCATAAGAGATCGTGTATTTGAGAGAGAGAAAGAGAGGTTCATTGAAAGGAATAGAGGGAGACAAAAAACAAGGCAGAGTATAGCCAGGCTGGAAGAGATATATAGAGAGAGTAGGTAGAGTGAAGGAAATGCCATGTAGCTGCCAAAGCAGAAGGACATGCCATAATCTTACCAGTAGGCCACAGCCTTGTGGAGATACACAGATTGATAGAAATGGGTTGATTTAATATATGAGTTACCTAACAAGAAGCCTGAGTGAATTGGCCAAACAGTGTTGTAATTAATATAGTTTCTGTGTCATTATTTTATTCAGGG